TGGTAGCTTGAATCTTAAAAATGGTACCTTTTTGGATTAATTTATGAAAAATGAGCTTCTGGACAAATATTGCTGTTCTGAGACAAATATCTAGATATGAACAGTAGAATATTCGGATATTGCCCAATATCCATATATGAATAGTGCAATATCCGGATATTGCGACAATAGCGAACCTGTTTTAGTAAAAACTCGATATCTCGAGTTATAGATCTCCAAATTGAATGAGGTTTGGACATATGTGAAGCTAACACATAGGCTATAACTATGTAAAATTTTGTAACTATTGGATATGTATATTGATCGTAGTTTGAGTGTGATGTCATGACTTGGCTGTTGGAAATTCAATTTGCAGCAGTCACTTTGCGAAAGACATAACTGAAGTTATACAACACTAATTGAGACATATAATATGTCGTTGAAAATCTTGAGATGTCTCGTTTAACATATTAAAATCTTAAAAATTTTCGTAAAGAAATGCAACACCAGTATCAAAAACAGTAAACAAGGTTTAATGTCGTATTCATAAATAAAGTTAATTTCTTTGAACTGTTCTTCAAGGAAATAGTTTATAGACTCTACTATGCTTGTAAGTAATATTTTAAGGTTATGGTACATTAGAAAGTTGACTTTGATTCTCCCACCTTAAGTTAGTGTCCATATGTAAAGAATGACTACGTAAAAGACAATATTGAAATGAACATCTAAAATGTAACACCCTGTGTATACCCGGTTTATTAACATGTCATCGTATTAGGCTTCACTAATTTAAAATGCAGAATAACTTTTTCTTTTAAAACATTCAATTATGACGCCATTAATAATTACCGAGTTGATTACTTAAATCACTTTATAAAAACATTGCCTGTATGTGAATTGCAAATAAACATCTACTTGCACTGAATAACCTCATATCATAAATAAGTGTGTATCTAAAATCACGGAACTACAACACGTATTCCGGACTATAATCCTGATAATTATTACGACTCAAGTCCAACTGAACAAAACAGAGTCAACGTGGCATGGACAATCCCCATGCTCACCAAATAAGGCAACAAAGTCCAACAGAGTCTCACAACAAATAAAATGATAATAAAGAAATAAACATGTCAGCATTCAAGCATATTATCATAAACAGCATATTATCATAAACAGCATATATCTAACTCAACTCCAGCCTCCTGCCGCCCGAGGTCTCAACCCCCGAGTTACCTGAACCTGAAAATGTGCCCCAAACGTGGGGTGAGATCTCTAAACAGAAATCTCAGTAAGACAAGGGGTCCTCAAGATCATTCCACCCCAAGCTCACTTACATGTGCAATATAAGTTCAAAAGCATTTATAACAATATAAGTTCCAAAATTAGTGCAATGCAGCATATAATCATGTCATGTGTGTCAAAATAGTCTACTGGCCAGATAAATGCAGGATGTACGTATGTCTACAACCCACAATAAAACACTCCCATGTTGTACCTGCCCACAAGATCACGTTCCCGTCTAGGCGAAACATCACATACATATCATAAGGCATTTGCACTTAACAGCTCAAAAGCATTTCAATAAATCAATACATGAAAAACACATCATGCATATAAATCATTCCCCCATGGGGTATGGTGGAACCAACAATGGCTAAACCGAGGACACGAAAGCTTACCTCATAAGCTAACCGTTCCAATCAAGAGTCCACACAAGCACAACGTCCAGAAACAACACTCTCACAGTCTGTTTATACCAACAATAATATCAACAACCATGATCTACAAGTATACGACTGAAAGACAGCGTGTCCCTTAAACGTTTCATGTTTTTAGGCTTCTCACAGAGCCATAAGTCCTTAATCACTTTGATTCTGACTTAGTTAATTAATTACAGAGGTTCACTTAACCAATTATGGGTCCACAACCCCATAATACAGTTCTGTCATAACAGAACTGACACTGCCTCAAAATTCCCAGAATATCCGGATATTTGTCGGGGACATATCCGGATATCCATATCCGGATATCAATATCCAGATATCACAGACCCCATATCCGGATATCAAAATTCGGATATCATATCCGAATTTTTCGCGACAGAATGCAGTTCTGCATTTTCGCGAAGATATCATTCAAAGGTTCAACTTTTACAATAAAAATACGTTCAAGAATGTATCTTTAAACCCTTTTAGGTTAGTTATCACATTGGTTACTTGATTATCTAATTAAACATGTAAAGACTCAACTTTTAACATGGAAAACTCATGATCAAGGTTGGTGAAGATTACCCAAGGTTCAAAATAGAACAAGGCACCTCTTGGAGCTCACCAATCCACTCCAAAGGTTCTGACTTTGAAGGTGCACGAAATTGGCACACCACAATGGTTCTTTCTTCCCAAAGGTAGCTTCTTGAAGCTCAAATTATCAAGGCGATGGCTCCCACAACCCCACTCAGTAACACAACCCTCAAAATCCCACCAACACAGAGGCTACACTCAGAATGATGGCACTCTCCCACTCACAATGCAAGCTCTCAATCACACAAGTGTTTAGGTGAAGATTCAATGGAAGAAATGGCCCCTTGGCTCCCACTATGAAGAAGAGAAGGCAATGGAACAGTGTATGGAAGATGGTTGATGGTCCTCAAGAGTTGAGGCCCATTAAGTGTAAATTGTTCCACAAAACCCATGTTTTGGTTATAAATCACTCCCTTCAACCTTCTTCTTTCCATATAGAGCAACTGTTTTGAATAGTGGACCAGAGCAATACCGAAAGTGGGAGTTAAGGTAGACCTGGAGCAAATTTAACATTATCTTTTTCACATATGACTATTGGGATAGTTTGCTTTGTTCAGGACACCTAAGGCCCATCAGAAGGAACCACAAAATGAAGAGAGAAGAATGAGTGTTGCGCAGAAAGAAAAAAAAAAGCCTGTTGTAGTACAACAGCAGTCAAAGGAAGCAATGGGAAGCCGCCACGTCAGCCACATCAGAGAAGGTGGAGGTGCTACCTCTGCTACAGTACGAAAGCAAAGAAGCTGAGCAATCAAAAGCCGCCACGTCAGCTGCAGCAGAAGGAGTGGAGGTGCCTCCCTGAATCCGATACTCCCACTCACAAAGGGAGCCAAAAGCAAGGGGGACCACTTCCATTTAAGGCCAAGCTGGCAAAAAGCAAGGATACCATTGGAGAGGATTTCTATTCGGAGCTGAGCTGGCAAGAAGCAAAGCTACCATTGGAGAGGATTTAAACAAAGCACGACCCTTGATGAAAGGAACAATGAAGATCAAATGAAGAACCCTATAAAAGGAACAAGCAATCCTCAAAAAGGAAATCATCAGCGCCCATCCTAGGACTCGTCATCTCTTTGTTTTCTTTTTGTAAAAATGCTCACTATGAGCTAACTTCCTCTAAGTAGGTGAGGGTTCCATAGAAGTAATCCCTTTTGTCTCAGGATAACTTTGTAAGGAACACATATTTTATAAATGAATTTTGAGTTGCTCTTTGGTTTAATTTATTGATTTTGTGAAACCCTTTGGGCTGGCAACCTCATCCCGGGACCACTCGGTTGATGAAACACTGACAAGGGCGTGTGGAGCATTCTCAAGATCCTGGTGTAGTTTAGCCTGAAGAAAGGAGGGAGAAACACTTGGAATGGGGAGCACTGCCATGTGAATCCATGCTCTTTTGAGAAGGCAGCATGGTTTCCTTGCATGTAACTCCAAGTACTATGGAGTAACATGGAGAGTAAGGCCTTACCCTCTGCTTACCTAGAGTAAAACAAGGGAAGGAGAAAAATCCACTTGTAAAATATGCTACCAAGCAGGGTTAACCAAAGGGATGAAAACATGGAACCCGTAACACCTACTTGACTTTTTCTGAAATTAATCTTAACTCAAACTTCTATCACAACCTTTTCCTCACGATAACTGAACTGTGTTTTACTAGCTGATGCTCTTACTTTCATTTCGTTGACTGCTCTTGAAGTTACTTAAATTGATGCCTTCTTATTCGATGACCGTGCTAAGTCATTCACTGCTCTCATCTGGTTCAGAATGGTTAACATTGTTTAACTAGCTGCCCAGAGATTGCTCTTTGTGAAGCTTAGCTGAGAATAGTACTTTCTTTTATTGCTCTATTTTACAAATTAAGTTTCCTTTAGCGCTTCTTACTTCACAACTGCTCCCTGAGGACGATAAATCTGGGGCTACAATACCCTATATTGCTTGACATGTACGCTTGCGTATAGTTGAAGAGGGTTGCTCTTAGTCAGAGTAGATTGCTCCTGTTGGCATTCCTGATTATTACTCTGCACTCTTGCTCTCTGAAAAGATATTCCTGAGCAGCTCTCGATTCGACCAAGCAATTGGCGCCGTTGCCGGGGATCATTTGGCAAGAAAGGGCATTTTTAAGGAAACATTTTTGTTGTTTAATTGCAGTCTTTTTGTTTTGATAGACCTCCTCCATTTGTATGATCACAGAACCTACAAAACTTGGACTAGAAATAGTACTTTTTGATCCAGAACCCGAGAGAACCTTCAGAAATAGAAGAAGAGTTCAAAGGTTGAGAAACATTACAATGGCGGAGGTTGTAAACAATGATAACAATGGAAATCATAATCATGAGCCTGAACAAGGACCGAACGAAGGAAGAGGGCCATCATTGAATGATATGGCTGCTCCCTTCAGAAATGGTCCAGAACGAGGCTATGTCCCCCCTCCTTTGAATATCCCGAACTTTGAAATGAAACCTGCAATGTTCCAAATGATTATGAACGCTGGTCAGTTCCATGGACTACCCATGGAAGACCCTCACAGTCATTTGGACAATTTCACTGAGATAGTTGATAATTTCAAAGTTCATGGTATTTCGGAAGAAAACATGCGGATGCGGCTTTTTCTATTTTCCTTAGCTGGAAAAGCCAAAGAATGGAGGAGAACATTGCCCCCAAACTCCATCACCAGTTGGGAGCAATTGGCGGAACAGTTTGTTACCCGATTTTTCTCCCAAGCAAAACAAGCTCAAGTGAGGGCTGATATAGCTTCCTTTCAAATGTATGATGGAGAAAGTCTGTATGAAGCGTAGGAACGCTTTAAAGAGTTGATACGAATTTGCCCGAATCATGGAGTTTCTGATTGAGGCATCATTCACACGTTTTATCATGGCTTAACCCCACCATTGAAAGCAACTGTTGATGCAGCTGCAGGGGGAGATCTTTTGGATTTTACTTATCCAGAAACCTACCAGTTGTTGGAAAAACTTTCAAAAAAACATATTTCATGGCCTTCCACACGACACAGTGCTCCTAAGAAAGCAGGAGTTCTTGAGCTAAGCTCAGCTGATGCTCTTTCAGCACAAATGGCTTCGCTCCATAACACTATAAAAAACTGGAAGCCCATGGAACAGAAAAAACCAATTGAGCAACTTCTCTTGACTCAATCAAGTCAGAGTTGCCCCACATGTGGAGGTCCTCATGAATATGAGCACTGTAACAATCCAGCTGCTGTGTGCTATGCAGGAGGGTATGACAACAACAACAGGAGCAATGACAACTATCATGGGAACAATAACCGAGGCTGGGGGAATCAGAATAATGCTGGAGGTAGTGGAGGAAACTACCAGAACCGACCCCCGTATCCCAGGCAGAACCAACAAAACTGGGATAAGGGTGAAGGGAAGTCCCAATCCTTTGAGACTTCTATCAAGGAGTACATGAATCAGAACAGCGCAGCCATGCGAAACCTAGAAACCCAAATTGGTCAGCTGGCTGGAGCACTCAAACAGAGGCAACCAGGGACACTCCCTAGTGACACAGAAAAGCCGTCTCAGGATAACCAGGAGCATTGTAATGCTATAAGCCTACGAGATGGAAAGACTTTACCACCCCCAGATTTAGTGGCACGACCTCGAAAGCGCGAACCAGCAAAACAGCCCATAGGAAAGGAAGTTGAAGAAGTCACTGACCCTTCACACCTTGAAGCTCAGACAGGACCAGAAGAGAAGGTCCAGAGCAATGAGTCTGCTGAAATCAAACCGGATGACGCAACACCTGTAGCAGACCTTGGAGCAACAAAAGTCAGTGAACCAGTTTCAGTTCCAACTTATGTTCCCCCATGCAAGAGAAGGAGTGAACCGATTGAGCCTCCTTTTCCACAGAGGTTGAAAAAGCAACACGAGGATAAGCAGTTTAGCCAGTTTCTTGACTTGATGAAACAACTTCACATAAACATTCCTCTAGTAGAAGCTCTGGAGCAAATGCCTTCGTATGCAAAATTTATGAAGGACATTTTGTCAAAAAGAAGAAAGATCGAAGAGTTTGAGACCGTAGCCCTCACTCAACAATCGTGCAAGTACCTGACTAAAATTCCTCCCAAACTAAAGGATCCTGGTATATTCACCATCCCGTGTACCGTTGGGAAGAACTATCTTGGTCGGGCACTTTGTGATCTGGGCTCAAGTGTAAATCTAATGCCAGCTTCCATCTTCAAGCAGCTTGACATAGGAGCAGCAAGACCAACCACAGTCACTCTTCAACTTGCAGACCGATCTATAGCCAAGCCAGAAGGAAAAATTGAGAATGTCCTTGTCCAAGTAGACAAGTTCATTCTACCAGCTGACTTCATCATCTTAGATTTTGAAGCAGATCAAGAAGTTCCAATAATTCTGGGCAGACCATTCCTGGCTACCGGTGATGCTATCATAAATGTCAGAAAGGGTGAACTTTCTATGAGTGTAAACGGAGAAGAAGTGAAGTTTAATGTCATGAAAGCAATAAAGTTTGATGAAGATAACACTGAGG